TCTATGAAATTTGAACTCAAGACATTCTTTGACAAAATGGAGACAAAGTGGCACTAGACCAAGTGATTATGGATAACCCTGATTGCCAAAAGTTATAAGGGAATACTCAAAATCTTGATCTCTTGGTCATCATTGCCTGTGAAAATCCATGGTTGCTTACAGGTTTCATTGCAAAGGCGCTGTGCAAGTAGAGCATTTTTAAAGTTTAAACAAGACAGAAAGCAGTGGCTGATTGCAGATGCATAATTAAAACAGGAGTGTTCAATCAGTTTCTGAATCCAGGGATTGTACAGGTAACATGTGCTCCACATGCATGGCACTGGCAGGTACTGCTAAAAGCAAAACCTACTACTTTCAAAGGAAGTTTTGAAGAGAAGATGCAGGTGGCAGGCAAATACATGAAAATTAGGCATCCTATTCCTCATGCATCTTTAAGACCAAGCATAACCAGCGGCAGATGCCTTAGGGTTGTTATAATGTGTAAAAGAACAAAAAGAAAAAGAAAAAGGAAAAGAAAGCTCGATCGATCCTACGGTATATATTGATGCTCTCATTCTGATTCTGCATAAAAATAACATATTTACCCAACTTATGGTCCCGGCGGGGCTCGAACCCGCGACCTTCGGCTCATAAGACCAACGCTCTAACCAACTGAGCTACGGGACCTGTTTGTTATAAGATTCTTTCTTTTGCAATTTAAACTCTCCAGAAGAAAATATTTATACTCCAATTTCAAATATCTATGCACATATGATGGTTATTTTCTTAGTCTGTATAATCTCACAACTGTTGATTTAATTGGTAAATATCAAGCAAAGTCTACCCTGTTTAGGACGAACTCTAGCAACATATTTAACTTGGAGAAGTAGGGTTGAAAATGCGTTCTGAAATGGTACAAGAAAAACAGAGAGGAAACTCTAGAAACTACAATGGTGGGAGAAAATTATTTATTAGAAATGATTGCCAATGTTGCATTAGTAAACACAAATTAAGTGTCACACTGCTCTGGGAAGGATTGAAAAAAACTTACCTATACCATAGTGGCGTTATCTCGAGCCAATCACCCATTGTTATGTGTTTTAACTTTCTGATATGGCAATGCACGATAGGTTTCAGATACCACCACAGTGACATCCCGTTACATGTAAGTTCTTCTCAGAAAAATCGGGGGATTAAAGTGGGTGTTTTTCTTATTTAATTCAAAATCACATCTTTGAATTGCACAATTATTGAAGAACATAAAAGGTCTTTCCACAAACAAACCTCAAATAAGCAGCAAAATCTTGTTGATCTTGAGATTTGAATTTAAAAACCTACTCCAACAAATGGAGACTAAAATAATTCCCAGTACTAGATCCGACGATCATTGATTGAGGAGGGAGGATCTAAATTTAAAATTTTCTATCTATCTCAAGATTTTGCCCCAACAAGGTTATATTCCAATCACGTGAGAATTACTCTATTTCCCAGCTTTAGTATTATAAAAAATAAAAAAAAAATTCCTCAAGAAAATTCACTGAAAATCCTATGTTCCAAGTAGAGCCACAAAATATGAAAAATGTGACAGAAAATGACATTCAATCAAATATGGGCTAAAAAGTTATGTCACTAGGGAGAAATTATAATATATTACGGTAGTATATTTATGTGTACATCTTGTATACGTGTATAATATGGGTGGATAACAGGGTTTCTTTTTCCACTTTTAGGGAATAGTATTAATAAATATCTACTTATATCACAAGTTATAACATGTGTACAAGATATATCACATGTCCATATTACTGTAATATTCTATAATCACTCGTCACTAGGGACTAATTAACATCAATTGTCATTTCCATTGTTATCCATGATATTATTGTTCCTATATTTCATAAGAGTGTGATTATTTCTACTCTTATTTTCTATTTCCCCACTCACCTTATCTTTAAAAAAATTTACCCATTTATAAAATGACTTCTAAAGACTTAGACAAATTTTAAAGATAAATTTACTTATTTCAATATTTTCATAAGCTACAAGGCAGAGAAAAAACTTAAAGATCCAGAAAATCAAAATATCTAGTCCATTGAACACAACTTGATCCTCTCCATATCTCAACTACTAATGATTAGCAAAGAAAATTTGCTTGAATTAATAATTAAAGGGCATTTTAAGAATAATGGTAGGTAGAAAGATATTTGTATTTTTTTCAAATTTACATGGTGAATAAGATAAAAAGTGGATAAAAAAAATAAAATAAGGGGTGAAAATATCAGCACTTGTTTCATAATCGTCATTCATGATGTTTTTCATGGTTTTGTTTCAATCATGGAATAGCATACCTTTACATTAATGTAACTAATTTTACATAATTATCTGCATAAAAGGAACTCCAATACTTCTGTTAAAAAATAAAAAATAGAGGGAATGAGTGAGAACTAAATGACAATTATGAAGTGATAGTGATACCTTGAACTAGAAAAAAACCCCATATTTTTATTTTCACATTAACGTACTAAATAAAACAAATTTGGACACAAGACGTCCCATCAATTTTTATGATGCTATCAACTACAATAAATTCTTGGTTGTTAACTATTATAACTTCAACCCAATGATGATTTCAATATAAAAAAATGTTTGATTATATATTCAATTCAATCAACAAACCCTAGAAATAAAGTTCGGTTTCTCTTGCCCCAACTTCCTAGTGTTTCAATGTGTTTTGTTTTTAGACAAGCCAATTTGACGATTCATAGATTAGCTTGCTTTGCTATGTTCTCTCATAAGGTATTTGAAATGGCACGAAGTCCCTCCTCATATCGTTCAAGATACTTTAATAGAGGACCTTATGTAATTCTTCATTTATTTTTCTAATACCATCGCTTCATTTTTATAAATAAATTATATAAAAAAAATTCTAGAAAGAGAGAAAGCAAGAATGAGACAAGGTAAATATCTTATTGGTAGATGCCTTAGCCTTATATTTTGTGTATCCAACAAAATCTTTGGCTTGTTATGTTGACAAAAGGAGTGGTGTCATGGAGGCTCCAGTGTCCTTCTCTATGGAATATCGATGGTGGGTGGCTGATTTTCTTGAAGGCACCATTTTTGTTTTGTTATGAGTAACTTTGGATAGTCCTGTTGTGGCCAAAGTGGGTCCCTTGCTAAAGGTAGACATAGCTTTGCTCATTTTGTATGTCACAAGGAAAGATTTGAGGATTCAATTATAGTGACCTCTCAGCAATTGTGTTTCCTATTTCTGTTTCATATTTATCACCACATAATGATTTAACCTTATTTAATAATAATATATGCCTGGAAATTCTGAGTTGGCTGATTTGCTGTCAAATTTGTAATGGATGGTACTTGAATTTTTGAATCTAACGGCTCATCAACCAGATGAAGATTTAAGTCAGGAGGATCTAGTATAGTAGCATGTCCAAATTTGGTAGATTTTCATTTTCCATGATAGATAGAAATCTTAAAACCTTAATCCAAACCAATAAATTTCAGAAATTCTCATATTTGAAGTCTTTAATTATTGCCCTAATTATTATAGAATTTGAATCAGACCGAATGATTCGTCTTGGTTCATAGAAAAACTGATGATATAACAAACAATCCGTCTTGGTTAGCAAAAATCAACTAGGGTGGTCAAGAGCGTTTATCCTACGTTCACAAATGAAGAATGTTAATGTTGAAGATATGATCCAACAAAAATCAAGAAAACAAGTGCAAGATACTTGTAGTTCAAGTAGTTAAGAGCGTTTATCCTACACTCTTGTATTCGAATCTCTCTCCCAATATTACTTTTGTATAATTACTGGAATAAATATTAATGCGATGTAATTACTGAGCATTTTTATACTTTTTTGGATTAATGGAATAAAGGGATTCAAATTTTGAGACATCTTAAATACAAAATTGATTATAAAGCCGCATGGATTTGAATGGCGTAATTAAAGGGCAGCATCTTTGTCCATCGATTTTGTTGCCTTGTCAAGCCTTGCATTGCATTCTACATTTGATGTCCTCTTAAGCTTTGATCTTGTCAATCCAATTCCAATCCAAAGGGGAAAACCATTAAAATTTGATCTAGTCTATTATATATATCTTTCTTCACCTACCTATGCACCATGTCACATTCAACTCGGTTCTTGCTAGTTGGTAAGTAGCTATGAACCTCAGAAGAGCTTTCCTTCTAAGGCTTTACCTTTCAAAATACTTACTTAATAGTTATCAGTAACTTCCTATTTGATTTCAATAATCATTTCTTAATGGCTTGTTAGGCAATAGAAACTAACATAGTAACCAAAGAGGCGGGCTCAGGTTATTGAGGAAGTTTTTATCCATTTGATGTCAGGACATACCCATAATCTCGAGTCGGAAGGACTTATGCATAACACCCAACTACCAGCTACCATTGGTATAAATTTATGTAGAAAATTACAGATCACGCCCCAATAAGGATTGCTGGCAGCGGGACTTGAATACTAATGAGACTATACACAGTGCAAGAACCTTACCAACTAAACCAACCCTCATTGGTTATCTTTTGTTTCTCTTTTTTCTTGTTGTTCTAATAAGTTTCGATCTTCTTTTTTTATCAAAAAATACAAAGGGGGGCAAGTAATAGCTTCTTTCTTTTAAATTTTGTAGGGGTAGGTATGACAATGGGAGATGGGTTGGGTAGAGTGTGTCATTCTCCCCTCACCCTGCCTCTTTCAATGCTTTTCCTTTTTCTTTTCTTTCCCTTTAAAGATGATAAATGTTTACATTACATGCATAATGAAAATAAATCAATTAATATATAAAGAAAACTTGCACTTGTACATCTTCAAAAGAAGAAGATGTTCCAAACTAAAATTCAACTAAAATACATGCATGCAAGCAAATATTCAAATAAAAATAAGAATTTGAAAACTCCAATGTATGTTACAAGGTTTGGCATTTGATTTGGGAGGTGGTGAATTCCATGCAATGCAAGTGTCGGTGTTAGGGACACTTTTAAAGGGCTCCACGTGGAGGTTGAGAGGTGGGTCCTACCATACTGCAAAAGCCAGCCATAGATGCCCAAAAATGAAACAAACAAAGCTTATGGTGACATTGGCAAGCCAAGACTGTGGATGTGGCTGGTAGCTCAATTTGGTGCTCGGAAAAAACATTATTGGAGAGCAAAGATCTGAGCTTTTGGTTCACTTCACAAGGAGAGAAAGTAGTAAGTGAGAGAGAGAAAACAAAGCTCATAAGAGTCGGTCTAGCAAGGAAATGAGGAGTGGAGCGAGAATGTGGGCTACAAATTTGAGAAAAATATTATTCGTAGTGCTCTAGATTTGCATGGTTTGAATTTCAAAAAAGAAAAAAACCCAAAAGAAAAGAACAGATTTTTTGGTCATAAATTTGCATATATAAGCTCTGTCATCTGATCTGTCTCTCAGACAAACAACTACATGTGAGAAAAATCTGAAACCCCTCGGATTATCTCTCTTGCTCTACACTCTGTTTGCTCTCTCTCTCTCTCTCTCTCTCTCTCTCTCTCTCTCTCTTTCCTTTCCCTTTTCAATTTTTCAATTTTTATTTTTTGCGAAAAACTTGGCTAGGCTCTTGGGTTTGTTCCTCCCTTAGCGAGATTTTGGGCAATCTTAAATTCCTCTATAGAGTTTGTTTTCAAATCATGGTTCTTGAAAATCAAAGATTTGGGTCTCTCTCTCCCATCTTTGTTTCTTTGTTTCCTTAAACACCCAAAAAAAAAATCGAATTTTTATTGATGGAAGAGAAAGGGTGACAGAGACCAAAGACTCGAGATGGTCCTAATGAAATTAGCATCAAGAGCAAGTTCCTCTCTTATAAATCCCCATTCTGATTTCTGGGTTTGATCCAAAATTCCTTCTTGTCAATCTGTTCATTTTGTAAAAGTAGATGGAACATAGCAAGAATGGCTCAAGAAGACCAAACCCAAAAGTGTAGCAATACTAGTAGTGGTGCTAGTCTTGGCTTTGCGAGCATTACTAGATCTTCATCCAAAAAAACCAAGCAAAAAAAAGTGCCACAGAGAGGACTTGGTGTGGCACAGCTTGAGAAAATCAGGCTTGAAGATCAGCAAAACAAAGCAGCAGCCGCTGTGATTTTGTCAACCCCATCTTCTTTATCCTCACCAACCAAATCCACATCCTCATCATGTCCTTCTGTCCCAATTAGACATTTTTATCACTCTAATCATAATCAACCACCCTCTTCAATCCCATTTCCTTCTCTACCATCACTAGATCTACCTTCACCAAACTCAATTTTCAGGCCACCAATAATTCCAACCCAGAACATTGATGTAATTAGGAAGCCAATTAGCACGGTTCCATTGGGAAATAACAATAATAATAATGGTGGTCATGGGTTTGAAATTCAGGGACATGGCAATAATAATGTTCCTAACTTGTGGAACCCTTGTGACTTCAATCTTGATCAGAAGGAGAGTTCTAATTCTGGGATTGATCCCGGGTTGGCGTTTCGGTCTACTTTGAATTTGCCTTTTGAGTCCAACAACCCCATTTGGCCTCTCACCAATGTGCCACAAAGAACACAACCATATCATCAGCAGCCTCCTCCTCCTCCTCCTCCTCCTTCAATGGTAAGACATTTTTTCTTTGTAGTTTTTAACATTGTTTTTAATTATTGGGAAGAAGTAAACTTTTATGATCTCCTCCTTTTGATTGTGTTGAGAAGGAATTTTGGGGTATGGAACTCTGCAGGTGAATGTGTCATCAGCAACTTCATCATCATCTGTACTAAACTTTCAGATAGAGCCCCCTTCAAACCAAAGCTATTACAGCAACTATACACCTATGTGGCCGGATGAAGAAAAGGTTTGTTCACCTCTATATTTAGTCAGATATGATCGTTTCTCTTTCCGGTCAAATTAAGTTAAATTAGGAAATTTCTTACTAGTGTATCTATAAATGCTTCTTTTTCCTAGTGGAAATTAGTAGAAATTGTCAGTTAAAGGAATTGCAATGAGTGGGTTCTGATTGGATTCTGGAAATCCTAATTTATATTTTGAAAATCTTCTTCTCTTGAAAGGAATGTTAGAAGCTGCAGAATTGTATTTCATTTCAGTTTGCTTTATTTTGTTGTCTTAAACTAGGATTCAGCACAATTTGTTCTGTTAATGTGTGAGGAACCTGAGAGATTGGTCTTAATGCTGACTACCTTTGATATGTAGTAGATGGTTGGCATGAAGAGGCCATACCCCTTTTCCCTAGACAATCCACCAGGCCCCTCCATCAACTTTAAATTCCCTACCTTTGTTGCTCCTATGAGAGCAGATGAAGCAAGTTCATGTGGGAACAGATGCACCTTCAATTTGGAGCCTTCAGGCAACCCAATTTTCAGGTTAGCTTATTTTTATCTTCCAAAAATTGCACCAGTACATATGTATGCTTGCTCATGGTTTTCTTTGCACTATAATCAGAGAAGCCCCTTCATGCTCAACTTCAATTTCGGAGTCGAATTCGAGGAACAGTATTAAAGAAAATGGGAGTGTCAATGGAGATTTTCTCACCTTAGCCCCTCCTACAACCAGTAGTAGGACATGTCCCAGCCCAAAGTTGAACCTCCCTTCAGCATATCTAGCGTTCCATAACCGCGAAGTCCCTGAGTTTGAATCATTTTCTTATCAAGTGAGATAAATCAACAGAAACCCACTTCTAATTCACTAGTTCTGTTTAATAATCTGATCTCATTTTCTAATTCTATTTTGTTTCTTTCTATTGAATTGTTAAAAGGGCAATGCAGAGGACACAAATTTCCAGCCAGGACCAAGCGGTTCACATCCACAACAAGCTTTCTACAGCTTCTTCCCACCAGCAAAGGCACAAATTGGAAGAGCAGCAGCCACTATAAACAACAATTGTAATGGCGAAAGTGTGGATCTCAATTTGAAGTTATAAATCTGATCTTTGGCAGGCTAGTTGTTTCTCTCTGTGAACCATATTAGGAAATTCTTTTTTTTCTTTTTTGCTGCCCATAAATTTCAACATATCAGTAGGGTAGATATGTCTAAATTTGCATATGTAAGCTTGAGACTTGTGAAGGGTGAGAATTAGAAAAAAGACAGAGGAGATGCAGATCTGTCTGTTTGAGTGGTTACATATATATTCATGAAGCCAAATACCAGTGGTTGTTAACTTCTTGTGTGCCTTGGGATTTTGGGGTTTTCTTTGAGTTATGTTTTAGTTTGTTTTGGTTGGTGGATGATGGATGACAGAGGCAGGCAGCACTGAGAGTTGCTAACAAACTTTTGCATGTGGTGGATTGTGGGAGGATCTGATTGTGCTTTGTCCTATCTTCTTTATTGTGGGCTCCACAGATCTGACCTTCATTATAGTTGCAAACGTTTGATGTAAGAGTTGTGGGTCATACAAGGAAAACCAGCTAACGAAGGCAGAACAGAAAGATAATAAGAGAAAATAAGCAAAGGTGTTCAATTGCTTAACATGAGCAGAACAGAAGAAGGTTTCAATTGGAAAATTTGTCCAAAATCTCTACTTTATTATTCTGCACTGCATGAAAAGCAAGCACCCTAAAGATCCCATCAGTCTAAGACCAACCATAAACGTAGTCCAGGACATAAATGAGTGCCACGGAGAAGGGGTAAAGTAGGAAAGCGATCGAAGACGTCCAGAGAGGGAAGACAGTGCGGAAACTGCTAAACACACCCATCACAATGCAGACAATGAGAATAACCAGGACTTCTGCTGAGAAGTCCCATTCTAATCCTCTGAAGTAAACCAGGGCCAAAAATACCGATAGGCAGAGGACGTTGTTCATGGTTGCCGATCCATACAACTGCAACACGAAACAAAGAGGTAAAGAGGTCTTATTTCAGTACACAATGCAGTTGCCAGATGTTAGAGTAGAAAAAGAAAAAGAAAAGAGAAGAAACTTTCATGATGCAAAAAAGCTACTTGAGAAAAGATTTTGATAAATGAGTGCATTGTATTATGTCAATGGAGAAGCTAATCGAGTTAAAATGGACTAAGTTTTACGTTCGATGTTTGGTGAACTTAAGGTTAAGAGTAGAAAAAGAAAAAGAAAAGAGAAGAAACTTTCATGATGCAAAAAAGCTACTTGAGAAAAGATTTTGATATGTGAGTGCATTGTATTATGTCAATGGAGAAGCTAATCGAGTTAAAATGGACTAAGTTTTACGTTCGATGTTTGGTGAACTTAACAATGATAAGACTGGACTATTAAATTGGAAAACTATCGAACATAAGTGTACAAACCTGAGAAAATGTCAGCGAGGCAGTTCTTATCTTTTTGCGGCTAGCGAACATTATTGCAGAGACAGCCTCACAAGAAGTAGCCAGAGGTAATGCAACAAATGAGATGAAGAAAGTTGGAATGCTTGTGGCACTTGAGAAGTTATCAACAACATCTATCAAGGGATCAGCAAATGCAGCCGCAATGAGAGTTCCTACTAACAACATCAGTACTGCTTTGAAGGTCGTCCACTTGGGATTTTCAACACCTTCAATGATCTCATCGCTTTGACCTCCCGCCCCGAGAAGATCGTGCTCTTGCTTTGTTCTCTGCCCATAAATTTCCAAGCAGTTAGTGTTGGGAAGAATCCAAGATCTTATAGCTTGGTATGCAAGGCTTAGAATTCCCAGTGTGAGAATATGAACTCCTGACACTTGGTAGATTAGCATGATAAATTCTCAAAGTTTTGGTAAGCATAACCTTACCGAGTGAAAGTCGAATAGAAATTTCATCGTGTGAGGATCATTGTTGGAAGAGTCATCTCCCAAACGCTTTGCCTCATGAATCCATTTCGAGATACCATCGAGGAACTCTTGAAAATCAATACGAGAATCGTGAGAAGTGTCAAATTCTTCCATCACTTTGCCCACAGCATCATCCCTATCCAACTGTATTTCATCAAATCGGATACCGACAATCATTGCTCTTAATTCAGAATATGAAATAGATCCATCTCCGTCCTGATCCATTACATGAAACAACCTGACACAACATATAGTAAGAAAGCAAGAGGGATAACAACATCTCTAATAGAAAAGAGAAGAGGCACAAAGAACGGACATGACTAAAATGCTTGTGCTTTTAAAAGCACTTTTAACTACTGCTAGAAGTGCTTTTTTAGTTATCTGAAAATGGTTTTAAACCTTCTAAAACCACTTCTAAAAGCACTTTTTGCTACTCCATTCCTGATACTAACTTTTTTATGATTTCTTCGTTAGGTTCACCATCATCTCTAAGGAGCTTTCCCAATGCTTGTTTCTTCAGATGTTGCAATATTCCTGATATAACATGCTTGTGCTTTGCATAAGCAATTCGTCTCCTCTGGATCCAAGGCTGAAACACCTGCACCAACAATTAAATATAAGACAAGTAAATAAACAAATACGACTTTGCAATCAAAAATCGAACTTAAACGTATTTTTGAGGTCATGCAGAGTATGTAATTGCTGCATGAAAATCACAACTTACCTGATAAAGGCAGTAAGAAATAAATAGTGCGACAGAGACAATGAGGGAAACCAAAACTGCTATGTCTTTTCCCAAGTTCGAATTGAGAAGCTGCGGTAGTTGAACTATAATGAAAGGGATGACAGATATAACCATAATCCTTGCAGCATAGCTAGTCCAGATATCAGTACTGACACCAGAACCTGCAATTACAAATAGCTTTACTTAATTCATGATCTTTACTTACAAATCAAACATTTCAAAGGGAGACAACACATTATTGTATCACGTAGACCGGCTCATTACCTACAAATCACAGTCCGACACATATACATAAGTAACTCGTTAAAAGAACAAAAGAAAAGTTTATGTACGCATGTCAAACTACGATCTGTCTTTAACGAAAAAACGGTTCCTCATGGACATACCAGTTAAGCTAAACCCTTTGGTATCTTTGTTATCAATGGCAAAGGAGTTCTGAATATCGCATTTGCCAACAACAACACAGGAACCCCATATTAGTGTAAGAATCAATACAGTTGAACCAGCTAGCAACCCCATTCCAACTGAGACTTGGCTTTGAGCTGTTTCTGTACTCCCAGAAAGTCCAGATACTGAAAAGAAAAGGCAATTTAAAGCTAATTATTAATTACCTGTACATACATAGGAATACAAACCGAGGAATGAAAAGGAAAACTGTTTTTTATTTTATTTTTAAAGATGGATGTGAATGTTGTTGAAGTAATCCTTTTTTTTTTATTTTTACCATGCGTTATTCTATGCTACTTTAAATTACAAACTACCTTGACAAAAAACACTACAAAAGAGAATTTGAATTGAAGTACAAGGGAGCGATACATTGCTATGGCTAACTAGTTCTTGTTTCTTTCGTATTTATTTTTCATCTGAACTAAGATTATTAGACCAAACAAGGCTTAGCCACGTTGGCTAGAGTGGATGTGCTTCCCGCTTTGCACCCAAGTTCAAATTCCCCTCTTCGTAATTTAGATTAGTTTAAAATAGATTATCGCTTGAAAAAAAAATATTATTATCCCAAACAAAGTCCAATGATTCCAGTCTCCAGACCATGTTCTACTAAACTTTTCATTTAAAAAAAATGTCATTTTCTAATACATGTGGGTGTGGCGTTTTGAAGAAAAGAATTGCTGTCACCCACACAATTTTTTTTACTTTTATTGTTATAACATTTTGTTTCATTTTGCTAGTGTTTTTGGAATGCAAAAAATTTGAAATAAAAACATGATACTAATTATAATTTGTCAGTGGTAATTTTTCCATTTTTCTAAACTGAATAGTAACTTTCGTTACATTGTTCACTAAATATAAATATATCCAATTTAAAAAGAATTTATAAGAAGATAAACTATCCACACACACACACACAAAAAAAGAAAGAAGAAAAACTACATGGTAGATTGAATCTATATAATTAAGACAATTTGCCATTGTCAAGTTCCATTTGGTGAGAGAGAGAGGATTGATGTTTGGCTTACCGGGCTGCCATTATACATGCAAAGACGAAAGACAAAAAAGAAAGAAGATAAACTACATGGTAGATTGAATCTATATAATTAAGACAATTTGTCATTGTCAAGTTCCATTTGGTGAGAGAGAGAGGATTGATGTTTGGCTTACCGGGCTGCCATTATACATGCAAAGACGAAAGATAGAGAGAGATTGATCATGGAGGGTTTGTTTGTTTCCCTAACCATGGGCCATAGTTTTGTCAGAAAGCAACCGTCTCAATTTCCATTAAATAATAGTAGGTCCAACATTTACTTCTTCATTTTCATACAACAAACAAGCTTTGCCAGGCAATAAATAATTTTATCAGAGTTTATAAATATTATAATTATAAAATGCTCGCACATATACATATATTTAGTAATATTGCACCCTCAAGTGTGAATTTTTTTTTTAATACAAGTATAGTCTAAATTATAAGGAGAATGAGAATTTCACACACAGAATACCAAGATATCATAGGTGTTCAAATATGAGACCATTAGTATGCAAGTGAATGCATTTTTTCACTAAGCTTGACCTCGTTAAGCAGATGAGTCAAGTTTATCTTAAGTTTGGGTTCGTGGCATCGAGTACGAGTTTAAAAAAAAATAAAAAAAATCATATGAGCCAAGCTTAAGCATAATTCTATGAGTTTTGTTTGGAAATTAAGCCGAACTTTAATATCAAGTAATATTTATCCAAAGGAAGCTTCATAACCTTAGTATTGGACTTGACTTTGACTCATTTCCACCCCATGTCATGTCTAAGCAAGCACATATAACAACTTGTTGTTTTGATGCGATATCATAAGTCAAATACACTGTCAAAAAAGTCGTCTTCTTAATATGAGTTTTTTTTTTCATGAAAAGCAAACAGAGAGGAGAATGAGAGAGGAAGTAGAGAGAGAGATTCACCGAGAATGAGAATGGCATCGGGAAGCGAGCCAAGAATGGGGAGAAACAAGCCTCCCACAATGCCGGGGCCGAGAATCTCCAGCAACAGCTCGCTGCCATTGGAGAGGTACGTGGCCGCCAAGTACATCAAGTATCCGTACACCAAAATCAGGAACAGGTTCCCCAGCACACTGCTCGTGCACGGTAAGAACCCGTACGTCTCCTCGCACGCGCCGTCCGCCTCACCCGACAAGGACCCGTTGAGGAGCTTGAGAGCTAGGTGGGGTGCTGTCGAGTTGTGGGGCCCCACGTAGACCCCATCGGAGATAACTGCTACATCGTGTGGTGGGGATTGATTGCCGAAGAAGAAGCGGCCGTGGGCTAGGCCGCAGAGGAATAGTAGAAAGATGAAGAAGAAGAAGGGACGGGGGAGAGCGTTAACGCGGTGAGGCATGGCTTAATTTTCAGGCGAGCATTAATTGGAGTTCTCTTATGTTTCAAATTTGGGCTCTTTTTTAAAATTTTGGGTCCATTTTTGGGTTGTGATAAAGTCGACGTTGTAGGCCACAAATTTTCGATTCTCCTTTGCTGTCTGCCAAACCCCTCAGCCAACCAAGCGGACAAAAAAGCAAGCAAAGTAAATTTTGGGTCCACATGATTTGAGAAAATTACATTATATGTCATTGGCGAGATTCCCTTCCCTTTCACGCTTGAACTTCAATTGAATCGAAAGGAAATGGGACTTTCAATGGACCACCAAATGGGTTGGATTAAGTTTAGTAGAGTCCGTAAGAGGCTTGTAGCTCAAATAGTTAAGAACACTTACCCTGCACCTGAGATTCCGTGTTCGAATCCCTAATCTCCCAACATCAATTGTATAAAACAAAAATATATGGTTTAGTCCAGTCCAGCCTCTACTTTAGCTAGCCAAACGTGGGACTGGACTGGTTGTACAATCCGACTCCTTATCCCACACATAAGAGAGGGCCTAAGAAGAAGAAGTTGTAGTTAATCGGGATAACACGCTTAATTCAGAAGAAGATGTAAACGCATGACACAGAATCTGTGCTTTTGCTTTATAATGAGAAAATTGGCTGATAATAGTTTTAGTGCTCCCAACAAATCTCAAGTGTCGCTAATGGAAATGAAACCAAAATGCCTGCCTGCTCACAATAACATTATCAAGGATCATATAAACCATAGGAAAAATGAAAGGAAAACGATTCGCTTTATAAATACCGAAGAGCACCCCAACGTACTCAGATCACCTCGTCGTGAGTCTATGACCAGCCTAAAACATAATCCAGAACATAAACAAGCGCCAGGGAGAAGGGGTAAAGTAGGAAAGCAATTGAACAAGTCCAGAGAGGGTAGTTGGTGCGTAAACTGCCTAAAATACCCATCACAACGCAAACGATGAGAATGACCAGGACTTCCGCTGAGAAGTCCCACGATAGTCCTCTAATGTAAACCAGAGCCAAAAATACCGATAGGCAGAGGATGTTATTCATGGTAACTGCACCATACAACTGCAACAAGGAACACAGAGATAAATAGGTCAAACTTCAGCATTCACTGTTGTAGCTAAATATTACAGTTGAAACACCACCTATAACATTTGTGGGGAATTTTTATTTTTATTTTTTTAATAGAAAAATTTAAATCCCTGCTTTTTGGGGAAAAAGAAACCAAAAAAGGTTACTAGATACTACTATCCATCCATCAAAATAGTTAAATCATGACCAACAGAAGAATTTTATCGGCTATTTGTACGTTGCAAAATATGCTAAACAATATAGAGATATTGGTTAATAATGATTTTGATATGTGATTGCAATTTTCAATGGAGAAGTTTAAAGCTTAAAGTCTTAAGTTTACAAATGTATATAAGAAACTTCTAAGAGTTCAACTGATAAATTCTCAACACAACTGTTAAGAGGTGAAGTATTGTCAGGCTTGCAGGGTGATAAAACATAAAGAGAGATGGAATATGAGAACTACAAACCTCAGAAAATGTTAAGGAGGCAGTCCTTATCTTTTTGCGGCTAGAAAAGATAATCGCAGATACAGACTCACTAGAATTAGTAGCCAGAGGTAGTGCAATGAATGAGATGAAGAAAGTTGGAATGCTTGTGGCATCTGAGAAATTATCAACAGCATCTACCAAGGGATCTGCAAATGCAGCTGCAATAAGAGTTCCTACCAACAACATTAATCCAGCTTTGAGGGAGGTCCACTTAGGATTTTCAGCACCCTCGACAACCTCATCACTTTGATCACCAGCCCCCAACAGAGCGTGCTCTTGCTTTGTCCGCTGTACATGAATTTCCAAGGAGCTAGTATATTAGCACAGATCTAAGTCTTAATAAGAAAACCTTTTCTCTATCAGAACTTAATAATCAAACATTACCGAGTGAAAATCAGATAAAAATTTCATCGAGCGATGGCCAGGGTCAGAATTGGCATTTCCTGCACGCTTTGCCTTATTAAGCCATTTTGAGACCCCCACCTTGAACTCTTCAACACTGATTTTGGAATCACGAGAAGTGTCAAAATCTTTCATCACTTTGTCCACAGCATCATTCTTATTCAACTCTATTTCATCAAACCGGATTCCTACAATCAGTGCGCTTAATTCAGAATATGAAAGATGTCTATCACCGTCCTGATCGATTGTGTTAAACAGCCTGAAACATATACAAACAGAAAACAGAGTAAATACAACAATCTCTAACAATAAATGAAAAACAGAAACAATCTCTGATAAATAAATAGAGGCACAAAGTACACACATGACTAAATACTTCATTGGTAATACTAATAAGCACTAACTTTTCTATAATATCTAAATCAGGTTCACCATCATCTTTAAGGAGCTTTCCCAATGCTTGGTTCTTCAGATGTTGTAAGATGCCTGATATAACATGCTTATGCTTCGCATAAGCAATTTTTCTCCTCTGGATCCAAGGCTGAAACACCTGCACCAACAATTAAATATAAGGCAAGTCAATAACAATCCAAACATGCATGACCTAAATATCAAACAGGAAAAAGAAAATTCAAACAGATTATGGTTAGCTACATAACTAAATATCTGACTGAATCAGAATGGGTTTCAAAACCATGCCATGAAAGAATTTACAAATTATGACTGCAATCGGTCATTTTAAGAAAGGAACCTACAAACTCAAGGGGGCCTGCTCACCTTTGATCCCAAAAAGGGGGTTGTCCAAACATATTCCCACATCCCATAAGAAATTGGAATCTATCATTTAAAAATTCAAAAATGAACCAATCTAATTCTATGAAATCCTCGGAAGTTGTCAAGTTAAGCTATGAAAACTTATTAGCAGGAAGTCTCAGGGCGTGGTTCGAAACCAGCTATTGACAGAAGTAATCTATTGGTATGTCATCTTCAATTATTTTTCCTTTTCTTCTTACAAGTCGACAATGTTTGCTTTCACTAGGCATAAATAGCAACCTCAGCATGCAACTCAAATTACAAAAATGTAAGAAAAATTGTCAAATTCGCAAGATGTAAATCATAAACAAAAAAAAAAAAGAAATACAGTTCAGAACCTATTGAGAAAGTAATTCAACAAATATATAATTTAATTTCAGCAAGAAAGACTAAAAATGAAAATTTCAAACTACGCAGTACGTAATGGCTGACCTGCTGTATGAAAAACTATAAGTACCTGATACAGGCAATATGAAACCAATAGTACCACAGAGACAATGAGTGAAATCAAAACTGCTAAGTGTCTACCCGAGGTCGAATTGAGTAGCTGCGGTAATTGAACAATAAGAAATGGGATGACAGATATAGCCATAATCCTTGCAGCATAGCTAGTCCAGATATCAGTACTGACACCAGATCCTGCAATTATAAACCATTTTGCTTACTTTATCTCTACTTACAGATAAGAGATTTCCAAATGTATGATTTATGAAGAGAGAGACACAATCATTTAAAAGATTCAGTCAACAAGGCATACAACTTAGCCCACTACATGTCTTTTGGATTAAAATATTTCCCTTGATTCATTTTTTATCTTTTTCAATCCCCCGTTCCTGTGGATCTAAATTTAACAATCATCATTATGTTATGTATTTCTGCATCAACTTTAACAACCTTTCTTTTGTAGAAATGCAAATCTTTAAATAATCCCCGACCACAAATAAAAGACAGATATTTGTAAGGTGCAATATGCGTAGTAAAATTACGATCTCCATTTATCACAGGTGATTAGTAAGTCCTAAATAAAACAATAAAGAAAATATGGACATACCAGTTAAGCTAAGCCCTTTTGTATCTTTGTTATCTATGGCAATCGAATTCTCAATATCGCACTTGCCAACGAGAACACAGGAACCCCATATTACTGTAAGAAGCATTACAGTTGACCCAGCTAGCAACCCCATTCCAACAGAGACCTGACTTTGAGCAGTTTCTGTAGTCCCGGAAAGTCCAGATACTGAAAATAATATGATAAAGCATATCAGAAACCATCCGTAATAGGAATTCAACTCCTTATTTTGATTCCAATTACGGGTTAGTGAACATGCCATTAAAGTTAATTCTTAAGCAAACCATCATAATAGGGGTAAAAAGAAACAAAGGGTAAAAATTAGAGTATCCTATCCTTTTTGTAGATAATTGCTCAGATCCCCTAAAATCCAACACGGGTTGCTAAGACTGATGTGAAGGTTTAAGTTACTGTAGAAGGATCCATCACATAACATAAAAGTTCCAACTTTACATATGAAAACCGCTAATTCTGCATAATTAACACTACAGGAATGGTCCCTTTGGTGTTCTTGTTTTTAAATAATTTCTTTTTGGTTTTTTCCATAATAAATTTCCTTCTGAACTAAGATTATTAACCCAAACACAGTCCAAAGATTCTAGATTACATATTCCAGCAAAAGTTGGTTATAAGGACGAGTTGTAGGAGCAAACAGAGAGTAACAAGGACAAGTGGGGTCGTATTATAAAGCTATATAATTCTCCATCCACTGTGTATCACAATACAACATTTATTCTGTCCACTGAGATCCAAAGGAAAAAGTTGTGTACAGAAAAAGTAAAGAATTTTGTTTTATTTTCTTTAAATACAAAAAGAAAATTCATAAACTTGTAGAAGGTTCAGGAACTACGAGATTTGGAAATAGTGACTGAAAGCACTGTAAAGGTTTCAAAGGTATGATTTTTATTTTTAAAAAAATTAAGAGTCACAAAAACAGAGTATGCAGACACTATTATAATATGGACGGCACTCACCGTTAAGTTATCATTTAAAGACGTATAATAGTTCCATTGGAAATAAATGAAAATTGTTAAATTTTATTCTCCGTTTTCCTTCACTTTCTCGGCAACCAAACAGAAAAGTTATAAAGAGACTGACCGAGAATGAGCATGGCGTCAGGAAGAGCCCCGAGGATGGGGAGAAACAAGCCTCCAATGATACCGGGGCCGAGAATCTCGAGCAACATCTCGCTGCCATTGGAGAGGTAGGTGGCGGCCAAGAACATCAAATATCCATACACCAGGATCAGGAACAGATTCCCAAGCACGGTGGTGGTGCAGGGCAAGAACCCGTAGGTCTGGTCACACGTGGACTCCGCATCCACCGAGAAGGGGTTAAGAGTGAGGTAGGATCTGGGGATGTGGGAACGGTGGTGGTGGACGCCATCGGAGATCAGATCTTGCGACGCGGATTGGGTGTCGGAGATGAAGCGGCCGTGGGCTTGGCCGCAGAGGATCAGGAGAAGGAGGAAGGGCACGTAAGAAGAAGACATGTGGCTTCGTTTTCAGCTTCAGCTGGACAAGAGTGGATTTGGATGTGAGGTGGCGGTTGGTGAGTGATAAAATAGGGAAGGGAAAGGAAGGAGGGAGTGAGAGAGAGTCGAAGAGTCTCAGCGTAGATGACGTGTTTGTTGGTTTTTGTGGGGTACAAATAATAATACAATATTACTAGCTTTTGTATATGGTATAGAGTGGGGCCGACGATTTAAATAACTTCCCATTTAAGTCACTAAATGGCGCAGATTAAGCTTCTCATTGCTACTTTCTAAATTATTTTATATTTTATATTTATATCAAAACAAATATATAATCTCATTTCAACGTGACATATTATAAAAAAAATCCATATAAATCCTATTTTGAGATACAATTCCAAAATTTTAATCGATTAGAAAATAATAAGTGGCTAGTTTTGAATTTTCCTCTTCAAATAAGCTCTATATGGATTTTTCTTTCTAAATAGGCTCTATTTTGATGTTAGATTGTTCCATTATTGTAATGACTCTTTTATAGCTAGTTTATATTGACACTTTGTGATTGGTGACTCTTTTGACGGAATTATGAATCCAATTCTAGAATTTATAAAATAAAAAAGTAAAAAAGTCACGCGTGGGGGGCTGGCTAAGTTTCTAACTTGTACAATATTGAATTATTATTTTTTTAACATGTTTATTATTAACACCTTTTGTTTTCTTCTTCTCAAAAGATAAGGTGGGCTAGAACCCATAGGAGCCTATACCTACCTCCTCCCTTTCTAAACTATATCCTTTGAACCCCAAACCTAACCATTTAAACCAACCACCACTAACACCCTTTCCAATCCCTCTCATGGGGCATAATCAAAGGAAAATGAATTATTTATCTCATGCTAAATTTGTGGATATTTAATTCTCATACCACAAGCTTTTCAAGCCACGTTCAATATTGAACCAATAAATCCATTAAAATTAGAATTTTCATGCCGTTTACGTCTCTTTAACCATTGAAGATGACCACAACACCCCCCAAAAGGTTCGCAAATGTGGTTTGGACGTAGTAGTGTGAAATTTCATTCTCAAATGACAAAATTGGCATTTCATACTCTTTGATTGAAAAATAATAATTCTTTGAATACCGTATTATTAATCTTGCACCATGCTATGTACGTGAGAAAATTATTACTCGAGAAATCGAGAATATATAAAAAGATAGAGTAATGGGAGAAAATATTATTTTGGCCTGCAAATTTAACTTATTTCTTTTTAGTGTAATATAAATAAGAGCATGATTGGCACTTTGCCGATCCTTATCTCCTCCAAATAATAGTAAAGGTGATACATATCCGTTTTTCTTATGTTTGATTTAGCTGCCGACTCGTTTCTACGGGTGTCAAAATCAGGCCGACTTATATATTATTCATGCTTTGACGGTTTCCAAAGGATCCGTAAGTTGGGATTTGTTTTTTACTGTCTCTTTTCCTTCGTTTCAAACTCCTTTTCATTTTGTAGAGGCTAAGGAATATGCTTATGCTTGTGGGTCCACCCAAAACATGGTGCCCCACATCATAAACTTAGATGAATCCATCTTCTAATGGAAGAAAAACACGTGGCAGTTAATAATAATAACCCATGGTGTTGGGTTCTCAATTTCAATAATTCATTTTGGTGGAACTTCTTGTCAAATATGAACATCAAATAGCGCACTAAAAATAGAGCATTATCCTCATTAGGAAATGAGATTGACTTTTAGGTATTTGAGAAAATACACGGCTAGAATTGGAAATATTTTATTTATTATATAATCGAAATTGGTATAGGGTGATTTGAACAAATAACTTCAGGTGCACGAATAACAACTCTTAATCACTTGAATTACAAACCTCTGTATCGGAAAGATTTTAAATTGAACGTATATTGTTATGATATTTGAATGATATCAAATTGATCTTTCTCACATAAAAAAGAAAATTTGCAAAACACATTTTTTACACATGGAATTTCAAACCTTTCATTAGAAACAAACATATGTCCTTACAAAATGCCATCGTGTCCGGCCCGCTTCCTAATCTCAAGATAAAGACGTGGGAAAAATGGCCCCCAGGGATCTATTATTGTCTATTGTCGGCAATACTTTTCTTCCACGTGTGAAGAATTCCCGCGTCTGAAAATCAAAGTGGGACTGAGAGGTGACGCGTCGTAACTGTAAGAGTTGACGCGGCTGCAGGTCGGCCATGCCCAGCAATGGCTCCACTCAATGTCAAACCCAACCCACTTGAGAAGTTCGACCCGGTTCCTATTTAGGATCCAATATTAATGTTTTCCACTCCTTTTTTTTTTCTTTTTCTAATTGTCATATTTAGAAGTGTCTGACTAGGAATATTGATATCAATAAACATTTTCCATTAATAAGAAAAATATTTGAGATAGTCACATACGCGTAGATGACTTCTAACTATACTTAGAATAATGGGACAGGGATAGAATAGTGGGATTTACATTTACATTCGCGTATGCATGTGTAGACGACTGTTTTTAGCATATTTATATCCACTATAATGATGTGTTTATTAATCAGGAATTAGAATTCTTATCAGGAATTGAATTCCACCTATGAAAGATTCATACATTTACTTCACATCAAGGAATTGAAAAGTAAGTGGGACCCACAAATATTAAGAATTGAATTCATGATTTTGGAGGAATTCAATTCTTAGGTGAGAGATGGTATTCTAATTCATGTAGAACTAACCTATTATGAATTTATCTTTTTTATCCATTATATCCTCACACAATTTTCAAAATTCCAAATTTGCCATCTACTTTAATCAAACAACAAGGACATTTTAGTAATTAATCCACTCACCAACCCCAATTCCATATGGTTTAAATAAACAACTACAATAGGAATTTGAAATATAACTCTCTTCAATCCATATGGTTTAATAAACAACTTCAATAGGAATCCAAAAACTAATTCTCCTCAATCCAACACCTCCTCCATTCAATTCCGCCTAATCCAATTATGAATTAGTAAACATACCATAATACAATTTCTTCTTACTATTCATATCTAATAAAATTAGGTACTGATTCCAAACAGAATTTCCGAATCACGCTAAATTTGAAATATTCATATGTAGCGAAAAGGAAAATTTTGGAAATTTTATTGTATTGCTTGGTTCATTAATCTGAATAGCAGAGGACCATCAAGGTGGAGTGAAGGGCTCCCATGCTGCCTTAAAGAAATTAATAAAGTGCATTATTATGTAACTTTTAATAAACATTAAATTATTTGATGTACTTTGCTCGTTGAAGATGCAAAAAGTACAATTAGTGACAGAGACCGTCTCTCAATTTAATAAGCTATATATTAACTGCCATGGAGAGATGGAGCTGTCGTTGACCCCAGTTGAAATTTTTTTTCCAGGTATATATATATACACATATAAATGCCATAATTGATTACAACAACTAAACAAATATTCCGTGAATATATAGATTTTTTTTCCCAAATATTAATTTTAAAAAATAAGTCATTAGAGAGTTAATTAAGGAATATATGAAAGAAAAAAAAGTATTAATGTTTTGAAAATGTCACATTTTCTAACTATATTCGGAATTAGTTTTGTACTTCAATGGTAGTGCAAAAAAACTTACCTATAACCGTGATAACATTATTTTACTATTCTTGACCAACAACACAACGAAATATAAAAAAATTATCCTACGCGTCATTACGTTATTGGCAGGAAATAGTAAAAAGTGCTATCCCCGAGAGTTTCTCCCGTGATAGTGGGTTGGAGTTAGTTGCAATGGTCAATGGTGGTGGGGTGGAGTTAGTTGCCAATGGTCAATGGTGGTGATAGAGTGATAGCTACAATTGCAAAGTACATAGAGTGGTATCAATGAAAATTAATCTGAAAGGTTGAGGATAATACTAACATATTAAATAGGTGGACAACCACAAATCACAGTAAATAATAGGAAAATTATATTTGAATAATTAAGCTGAGCTAATTTTTTTTTTTACTAAGCTTAACTTGTATTGCTAGCTAGTTCTGAATCCCAAAATAAAAAGAAAATAAAAACCCAAAAGAAGCGATAAAAGAAAAGGAGACACTTTAACTGATTCTCACTCCAAAAAGAAAGCCAAACCATCTACCAACACTTCCAACTTCCAACCAAAAGAAAAGAGTGAGCACCTAACTATCAACGAATAACAACCAAAAGAGAGGCACCTAATAAAAGAGTCACACTCTTACACTAGGCACACCAAGCTCATCAAATATCTGTAACTAATAATATTATGTCGATGGAGTAAAAGAAAGAAAGGAAGATAGTTTATTGAATAACTTTTCGGGATGACAATCACACTCCAAGTGATCATATCGCTTTATTTGTTTTATAACCGTGACACTCAAATATTGAATTACTGCGCATCGTACGCGTGGAGGATATATTGAGAACCCATAATCACACAACGAATTTCTTAAACAAAAAGTTCATAATTTTCAAATTTTATAAATTCTTAATGTTTTGATTTTTGAGACCCATCTCGCAAAAAATCTTTTTAGTGTCTTTGATCCCTTATATTATTTATTCGATGTGCAGTGCAGGTGAGAGCATGCAGTGTTGTTTATAATTTGATGATATTGTCCTCTGTCAGCAATCTACTTGAGGATTACAGGCTACGTGGAGGCATTACCTCGTTACATAATAAATCCATGAATTGTCGGTACAATCAATCTCCTCAACTACCTTCATCATATTTTATTATATACAACCAAATTTGGCAAGCTCCACCTGATTCTTGACTAAATCATGTTTCAACTTCATTTTTTCCTGGGTCAAAGGGCAATAAACTTAAATGGAACCATAACTTTGACTGCTTGTATGAATGACGCTATTTCTCACAGCTTCTTTTAACAACCTTAACTGTCAAAATACATGCAAACTGCCGACATATGAGTTCTTTATCTTAGCTAACAGGTGTAGCCAAGTGGAGAAGTGGTTTGACTTGAAGATTAGTTTCAAATTCCTATGACACTTAGGTTTGAATTCCTATGGCACTTTGGTAG